TAAAGCTTCCTAGGGACAAAGATGATAATGATGGGGAAAATTATTCCCTGTTGTTTCTGTGGACCAAGGCGCGCAAGGGGGAAATTTTATTTGTCTACCCCGCCCATGGTCCAGTTGTTGAGCCGAGAGTCACTTCTACGGCAAGGAAGAGGAATAGAGGTCGGACAAGGAGCTGGAAGTTTCGGAAGCAATCTAAGACTCAACATAGTCGCAAGCTCTGCGGTTGCTTTCGTCGCCGACCGCCGCGTCTCGGCATGGACCGAACCTTGGAGACCTAGGTTCTTTGAGGGGGAAGGAATGATAGCAACCCATTCGGCGGGAGGAGTTGCTCGACCATATGGGTGGGCTTTTGGAGTTACTTGCTTTAATTATGTTTTGTTCTTATTTAGGTTAGCTTGTGTTAGAGTTAGTACGTGTGTTAGTGCATGGGCCGAGTAAGTAGTAGTAGGGGGAGTGGGTTACGTATTAAGATAGAAGTCAGCTTCTTGTGTTGGGTTAGGAGAGGGCCGAGAGGCCTAGGGAAGTAGTAGGGGTCGGCTAGGGTTAATGGTTTAGGTATTAGGTTTAGTCGTCTATATAATGTAACTACGGCATTAGTCCGAATCAATCAATAATAAACCTAAAACAGTCGTTCGACACTTTACGTCGTACTCCCGCTTGTGAGTTACAAGCAAACCCTAACCCGATAGCAACAGGTTGCTATCATTCACCTATAGTTTGCTCTATAAATTGATAGAATAAAAGGTTGTACCAGTCCCTGAGAGACGATACCCGGACTTTCCGGTTTACTACAAGATAGGATTAAGGCATATCCTAATATTGATGACCTATTTCTCGCAGAGCTCCTGACTCTTCGCGACTCCTTACGTTGGTGCCTGACTCACTCGTTCGCTAATGTTTTGTTTTGTGGGGATGCGCAGGTGATCGTTCGGATGATCAACGCGAAGGACTCGGCGCACGCGATGAGCGGAGCTCTCCTGCAAGAGATTCAGATGTTGCGGGCTTCTTTCTTACGTGCAACGTTCCATTTCGCTCCCCGTAGGTATAATAGGGCTGCCCATACCGTGGCAAGACAAGCCCTTGGAGCGATGGTCCAGACTCTTATCGACCATCGTGTTTTATTTATTTAATTTTCCTAGCCTGGTCTTAGGAGACCTTGTATTTTGTCGTATCTATGCTGCTTCCTCTCGGGATAATTATGGCAAAAAAAAACTAAAAAAGAGAGTAGTCCAGCATTCATGGTGCGCAGATTAATCATGTTAGAGCTATAAATATGATGATAGAAACAATTCAATTTAATGCAAATAGGATTTACTAGTCACAAACACCCTGTAGATATTCTCAACAGCAGAAAGATGAAATGGAAAGATTGGTTAAGGAAATGATGGCTTCTCAATATGTGCAAACCAGTCGTAGCCCTTTTGCTTCTCCAGTCCTTTTGGTGCTTAAAAAAGATGGATCTTGGCGATTCTGTGTTGATTACAGACAACCAAATTCCCTTACGGTAAAAGACAAATTCCCCATACCTGTTATAGATGACCTTCTAGATGAACTCCACCAATCCAAATACTTTACCAAACTGGATCTACTGTCCGGATACCACCAAATTAGAATGCACCCATCAGACTAATACAAAACAGCTTTTCGAACACACCATGGTCATTTTGAGTTCACTGTCATGCCCTTCGGTCTCACAAATGCCCCAGCCACTTTTCAATCCCTCATGAACCAAATTTTTGCACCTCACCTTAGAAAGTTCATCCTTGTATTCTTTGACGACATGCTGGTGTATAGTAAAGACCAAGAAACTTACCAAACTCATCTAGCCACTACCCTATCCATTCTCAGAGCCAACAATCTATATGCCAAACCATCTAAGTGTGATTTTAGGCAGACTCAAGTAGACTACTTAGGTCATGTGATTACTCAGGAGGGGGTAGCTACTGATCCCAACAAGATAAAAGCAATGGTTGATTGGCCTGTCCCTAAATCAGTGAAGGAGTTAAGAGATTTTTTGGGTTTGACAGGCTACTATAGGAAATTTGTGAAGAATTATGGTAGTCTTGCCAAACCTCTGACTGACTTGCTTAAGAAAGAAGGGTTTCACTGGTCCTTAGCATCTCAACAGGCCTTTGAACTGTTGAAGAACACCATGGTTCAGGCACCAGTTCTTACACTTTCTGACTTTACTAAACCTTTCACATTGGAAACCGATGCTAGTGGAGTGGGTATAGGAGTTGTATTGTCTCAGGAGGGCATGCCTATAGCCTACCATAGCCAAGCTTTATGTCTCAGGAAGCAAGGGTTATCCAAATACGAGAAGGAGTACTTAGCTGTGATACTTGCAGTAAACAAATGGCGCCATTATCTGGAGGGCAGGCGATTCATCATATTAACAGATCACGAGAGTCTTAAACACTTGCTTGGACATAAAGTGCACACACAGATTCAGAAGAAAGGGCTAGTTAAATTGCTTGGCTTGGATTTTGAAATCAGGTATCGTCAAGGGAAGTTTAACAAGGTTGCTGATGCTCTTTCCAGGCATCCCAACTTTACTGACACAGGGCAATGCAAGGCAATTTCAGTTGTCTTGCCTTCTTGGATCACTGATATTGAAGCAGCATATGAGGGAGATACTACCATTCAGGATATGATGATTAGTGCTGCTATTCCTATGGTTGGCCCTCGAGTGAATGAAGTTAAACATGGGCTGTTGTATCACAAGGGATCACTGTACGTGGGTCAGAATGGTCTTATGCGAAGTCAATTGTTGCAATTGTTCCATAGTTCACCAGTGGGAGGGCATTCTGGAGTCCAAGCATCTTATCAACGCCTCAAGAGGTACTTTTGGTGGCCTGGTTTGAAGAGGCAGTTGAAGGAGTTTGTAGGGCAGTGTGACATTTGCCAGAAATGTAAGGTGGAAAATATCCCATATCATGGTTTGCTACAGCCCCAACCAGTTCCTGAAGGGAGTTGGCAGCAATTGTCCATGGATTTCATTGAAGGGTTGCCTAAGTCTGGGGGTAAGGAGCTGACATTGGTGGTGGTAGACAGGTTTACTAAGTATAGCCATTTCTTTGGTCTCAGTCACCCTTATACTGCTGTGTCTGTTGCTCAAATGTTCTTTGATGGAGTCCTGAGGTTACATGGCCTGCCTAGGTCGATTGTGAGTGACAGAGATGCAGTGTTTACAAGTCTGTTTTGGTCGACATTGTTTGAGTTGCAGGGTGTGAAATTGCACTATGATGGGCAAACTGAGAGAGTGAATAGATGCTTGGAGGAGTACTTAAGAGCTATGGTACATCATAAACCGCAAGACTGGTCTCATTGGCTCTCCATGGCAGAGTGGTAGTACAACACTAATTATCATACCAGTCTTCGTACAACTCCATTCGAGGCGCTCTATGGGTACTCCCTCTCAGTTTGCATTGCAAAAATCCCCTGTCAACTTCAGTAGCTGCAGTAGTTGATCGACTTAGCCAACAGCAGAAGATGGTGGATGTTCTCAGGACTACTTTGGCACAAGCTCAAAATAGGCAGAAGCAAATGGCAGACAAGCATCGTACTGAAAGAGAATTGCAGGTGGGTGACCGAGTTTATCTCAAACTCAGACCCTATCGGCAAACATCAGTGCCTGCCAGAGCGAACCAGAAGTTAGCAGCAAGGTTTTATGGACCTTTTCCAGTACTTCAGAAGATTGGGGCGGTGGCTTATAAGCTACAATTGCCTGCGGACTCAACCATACATCATGTTTTCACGTTTCCTTATTGAAGAGGGTTGTGGGTGATCAGGTGGCTGTTCAGCCATTTTTGCCAGAGATGGATGTTGAAGGATGTTTGAAGGTAGAACCACTATTGATTCCGGCCAGGAGAGTGGTAGCTCATAACAACATGTCTGCTACTCAGATTTTGGTACAGTGGTCCCATCAGAAGGAGGAAGACGCCACCTGGGAGTATCTCACCGACATTAGAGCTCGATATCCTCAGTTTCAGACTTGAGGACAAGTCTCTGGTGAAGGGAAGGGGAGTTGTAACAATCATTCTCAATTGCAATCAATTAGTAGTTGAGGGATTAGATTGTAGTTGTCCATTGACTATAAAAGAGACGATAGTGAGCTGGTAACGACATTGAAGAATAATACAACAGAATTTTCCTCCTTCTTGTTCATTCTCCCTCTCTCCTACTTTCCCTTCTCTCTCCTATTCTTCTCTTCTTCTTCTCTTATCGTCCCAAATTCAGTCGAGTTCCAGGTCCAGGCATAACAGCAGGATCGACCCATATGTTGACCTCAGCGTTGACAACCTTGGTTTCCTCCAATATCTCACAATTCTCTTCATGAAAACAGATGCATTTTGTTTAAAAAATAATTGCTCCACCCCTTCAAAAGTAATCATTAAGAACCTCTAGATATCTAGTGCTTTCATGCAAGTATTATGAATGTGGTATAGTTAAAGCCCATTATTTTGACATGATTACTAAGTGTGGATCGATCACACACTACACTTTAGCTTTTCATGCAAGTATTATGAGTGTGGTATAGTTAAAGCGCATCATTTTGACATGATTACTAAGTGGGGATCGATCACACACTACACTTTAGCTGTTAACTACAACCCGCTGCAAATGCAAAAATATTCTCAAAAAATTTCCAATTTTTGAAATTTTGTATATGATAAAAGTCATGAGAATTGTAACCTCCGAAGGCCAAAACTAAGTTACGATTTTCAGCAATACAAGCCAAGGATGATTGATCTTTGTCTTTAACCGACTTCTTTCAGCAGAATAACTTTCTTGGTATTTTGGCTATCATCTATCATGTTTAGTTCCCTGAATAGATAATTTGACTATGATGGCGTCCACAACTGTCTTTTCCTACCCATTCTACCTGTTTATGTTGGCGTCCTGATGGGGAGGAGTTGTAACTATAGTAAAGGCAATGAGGCTCCACCGCTCCAATGATAATCCATCCATCGTGGGAGAAACCAAGTGCCAAATTCAGTGTGCATTATGATAAAAGGTTCGCTACTTGGAAATTCAATTGTATAGATATTACGGTACTGCACATTACCAACATTCCAAGGATCAAATCCTCATCCTACATTACAGGAATTAAGTAGTCAACAAGAACCTCGTAGTTGAGTTGAACGCTCATCAGACATACCATCCATAGATCCAAGGTAGATTTCAAACCCTGACCATAAACAAATATGTAATTGGAAATTCAAGTTCAATACATTGGTTACTAGGAAAGAGCAGAATATAAAAGATCTGGAAAAGTAGAATTCGAAACACTTACTAGCTGCCCGGGTTAGCTCCTATATCTGGCGGTTTTATCATGAATGGTTCGAATATTGGGTCGACTTCGCCTGCTGCTGCCATTTTTTGAAAGAAAAATCGAAACTTTGCTGGGTTAGTTCCTTTTGCTATTGCTGCTCGCATAGCTTGTTCATACTTTGGGTCAAACCCTTTTGATAGCAGGAACTGCATGCATTCTTCAACCACTGCGTTAACCATTACTTCCGGTGGCATTTGTAGCATTGAAGCTTTTAATTCCTCGAGTTGCCTCGCTCTCTCTTGCAACTGATTCTTTTCTTCTACCAGCTTTAGATGTTGCTCCCTAATTCGTGCACAGTCACAAAGATCGCATGTGTCTTCTGGACATGGCCTTTCTAGATTGAGCTGTTCAGTGTAAGAATAATCATACAAGTTAGCGTTGATTATAAAAAGTTGTGTTTGTGTAGATAGTATTTAGAACAGAATAAGGAACTAACCAGCTGATGAAATAAGGAATTAAAGGAAACCGGTTTTTGACTGTGTGCATTCATCATCTCACTCGAGCTTTCCATGTCCATCTCACACATTTTCCTATAATATACACAATTATTATTATATATAAACGTGAAGTGAGGTTACTGTTGCCAAAATACCTACATTTTGATACCCCAAATTTAATTTAATTACAACTTAGTCATTATTATGTATATTTTACATTTTGATACCCCAAATTTAATTTTAAAGTAAAATCATTGAACAATTATGTTTTAGTATCTAAAATTTATGAGATTTTCGTACCTACAATTTTTAAAATTTACATATTGGTCCAATGTTTACATTTCACTTGAATTCATAAATCCAATCTACCAATTCATGAATCCAATCCACCATAACATAAAATTATAAATTTAATTTGTACCATACAAGACGTTGTATCACTCAACTGTAGGAGAAGATTCGACCATTTTGGTCTATGATGAGATTTTTACTTCAAATAAACATGTATGATATCCATTTGAAATAATAATTATTATCATTTTTAAAAGACCATTCTATTCGGTGATGTGACAACATATTTAGTAAAATATAATACGAGTACATTAAGATATTGATCTGTACGAAGTTTTTGTATGACATTTTAATAGAACAATGTTTGAAAAAATCAACAGTAATAAAAATCATAACACTTTTTGTATTTCTTTCTTTGCCTTCTTCGTCTAATCCTAATTAGTAATTGAACCATGAACCATTAACTTTTTCAACTCAATGTCGAGTCCAATTAAAAATAAAGATATATGACTATTATTTATTAGAAAGTCATCATTGTCCACTATGAGATTTTAAGGCGTGAAATTTTTAGCGAGTTCCCGTTTGTATTCATTTTGCTTCTCTATAGAGTTTTTCTTTTTCACCCAGACTAGATTTTCAACAATTATATGTTTGACTAGGTACCTACACATATCAAATAAATAGTTTCCATTTTTCTATAAAAAAAAGTAAATAATTATCATCTTAAATACATCACCATAAAAGGAATTCAGCCTTAACTATGCAAATTATAGTTCGGTACCTAAACTTAATAGGTCTTAGATTTATAGCCTAAATTTATTTTTTTAGCATACAAGTCCTCAAAAATCAAAATATTGATGGAACAATACATTTTAGTACCTAATTGTTTTTTAATACATTTTGGTACCTAAAATTTTGAAGTTCTACAGATAGTTCTAATTTCTGTATGTGTAATTAAAACACCTTCGAATAAATGAGTATCCACACCCAACTCATACACATTTAGATTATGAAAGTAAATATTCATACCCTACCCAAACTCATCTACAACTTACAAACTCATATATAAGCCACCCATACACTACCCATAATCAATGGGTCTACTTGGGTTTAGGTAAACATAGTTTAATAGCCCAAAATTTTAAAATATTTAAAATTCGATGTTGACTGTCATATATCTTTTCTTATTCAATATCCTATTATCAAGTCAATATTATTAACAAAACTGCTAACAAAAAATTAATTTTAACCTAATAATACTAACAAACCACCATAACGGGTCACCTAATACATGCCGATAGGCCATCTCCTCCCGCGACAAGACGCGACATCGCCACCTAGTTATATTAATTTTCGTATTCATATTTCCTATCAAATGTCAGTTAATCATACAGAGAACATACCTTCACGTTAGGAGTGCCCCAATAGTCTTGTAAGAATTCTCACTCTACTTTGGGTGAAAGAAAAGAACTGGCAACTGAATCATAACTTGTTAGGTTGAGTGAAGTGTTCGCCACTAGTGCAACTGAAGATGAGATTGGTACATTAGAAATAGAGGTACACTACGTTACCAACCAAAATAGAAAGTTATCATTACGACTGCCCAACATATACAACTCTGTCCAACCTGAAAATTGAACTTGAACTGCTGCTCCTTCCAATAAATTGTAAACTTATATGATGGTGTAGTGTAATACAAAACAAGCTTATATGATGGTGTAATGTAATACAAACTAGTCTCTAGAGTAAGGTCAACACAAGTGTAAGAAAAGAGAGAATCTGGAACATTGGAATGGCAAATGCAGCTTCAGAAGGAGAAGCAAATTTGCATTCACAAAGTCGCTTCACAAGATTGTGCTTGGTTTACTAAGATCCAGATATGCAGTGTATAATGAACAAAAAAGAGGGCCTTCACAGTCACAAAGGATCATATCAAATCATGAGGTCGAAATCCTATAATTTGCAGGACAGAGCGATATTGCTTGTAAGGACATTGTTAAGTGTGTACTTAGATAGTTCTTTGTTATGAGATTTCATATTGAAAGCAGGTATAAAGTTTTATATTCTTAAATAACAAGAATAGCATAAAAAGCGATGTCATGCCAGGTAAGGAGAAATCGACAGAAACCCAACGCCCAAAAGGACGACAGTATGAGAGAAGGATAATATTAGAAGGCAACCTAATTGAGCACCGCACCGCATGGAAGACAAACCCAGATAAGCCGAAACAAGCAAAGCAGAGAGCGGGGATGAAGAAGAAAAAAGAGCTGCAGTTTCGTTAAAGTAGGGGAAAGGATTAAATCATGGGTTCTGACATGGTTTCCCTTCACGAAATCAGAGAACAATCACAATAATGGAATCCAGAGCAGCAGTAAAAGAGAGAGGGAGAGCGAATGCGATTCGACATTCTACCTTACGCAATTTCGGGAAGCAGCGGCCGTGAAAGTGAGCACAAGCAGCTTTGTGGTTTTTTATTCACTTTCAGTGACAGAAGTCTCCCCCTCCCGCTATCAAACCATGAAATTCGAAGAATCTGTAATCCCTAACATTTCCCCGCTTTGGTAAATTTTGCGTTTTTATTCTAAATTTACGTAATTGGGTTGAAGTCTGAAGGCAACAACCAATATTGGGCGGGCTTCTACGCTACAACCATTACAAAGAAGGAAGGAATGAAGGTGTGGCTCAAGTAATGCCATCTAATTATTGTAAGACTAACCCAATAATGGGCCCAAAATATGTTATTTCGGACCATTCACCACATATTTTTGGGCGAAATCCATACCATATAGATATTCCAGTACTAAATACTGAAATCTCGAATACCAAATAGCACCCTAAATTCAATTTCATCCCAAAATAAATTCAGTATCCAATCTCAATCCCTAAAATTTTGTTCGGTGTCAATATATACCAAATTAATTTCCTTCAAGATTACAAATCAAATATATTAACGCAAATACTAGCTCCACAAACCATTCTCAAAATATATAAAAACAAAAAATTGAGTGGTGCTAACACTCATTGCAAAAGAAATAGAAAAAAATCTCAACTATAATAACAACACACTAAAAAAATGTGGTGCCTAAAAAACTATTGGGAAGAGTTTAACCAAATTCTTCCTATCACTAGTTGTTTATGGGGGAGAGCTCTACCATGTCGCTAAAGTGACAGTCAAGAGTAGAGGTGGCAATTAAGATCCAAATCCATGAATCCAATCCAATCCATCCACCAAATTATCCACTTAATCCAATCCATTTAAATCCAATCCATTTGATCCAAATCCAATTGGATTGATGGATTCATGGATCAATCCATGGATCCAAATGGCAAATTACGATTTGGTACCTATATTTTTTATATTTTACATTTTGGTACCTAAAATTTATATTTTTATACGAAAATTATCATTGGGAAATTACATTTTGGTGCCTAAAATTTTTCATTATGACATTTTAGTACCTAAACTTTTCAAAATTTACATTTTGGTCCAAGCCTTGGATGTCATTTGGATTCATGGATCAATCCACCAATCCATTTGATCCACGGATCCACCAATCCAATCCACGAATCCACGAATCCGATCCAATTGCCACCTCTAGTCAAGAGATATGAGTTGTTGCTTTCGGGCTTCAACCCAATTGCCAACCCTAGTGTTAAATCTTAATGATGTGTATGAGAGTGTTAGGACCAATTTGTTTATATGAGAGGACCAATTAGTTTATGATGAGCTCACTTCCTCTAATGGAAATTGCATTCCATTATGTCATTCAATTACGAGATGCAATTGGCTGCTAAGGAAACTCAAGAGTCTCAAGTGGATTCACTGCACTTCTTGCGTCATTATTATCACAAAGTAAAGGAAAGCAATCCGTCAAAGAAAACTTGTTCTGTCGATACTGCAAGAAAGACAATCATGTCATAGTTGATTGCTTTAAGCTTAAGAGGAAGACCAAAGAAAGATGTGGTTCTTCTAGAAGGTTTATTGGACAGTTGAAAACTAATGATGGGTTTATGAAGAAATTTTGTCTACACCACAAACTCAGTCTGCTGGGGGATGGGAAGGGGATGGGATAGCGTCACTTCTCCTAAGGGATGTGAGTTTCACATCCAAGGGCAATTGAGTATGATCGAAAAATAGAATTTATTATTTTTTGTATTAATTACATAATGGAAATTAAAAACCCATATTAAATACATGTTTTTTAAAATTTAAATCCTATCATTAATACAATTATATTTCTCTCTATCTCTCTCTTCCTTTTTCAGCAGCTTCTTCACTCCGATCACCAAACTTTCTCCGGTGAAATCCTCCAATCAAACTCGCTCCAGTGATATGCAAAAAACCCACTCCGTCAGTGCGCTAGTGGTACTGATTTTCGACTAGTGGCAATCTACCACTACCACTTGTAGTGGTACCAGTTGTAGTGGTAGCGTGGTACCGTTACCAGTGAGTAGTGGTACGCTACCATTACCACTAGTACCGCTACCCGTGAGTAGTGGTACGTACCACTGGTACCGCTATCAGTGAGTAGTGGTACGCGTACCACTATCACTACACAAAAATCAGATCTTGAATCTGAAAAATCCCAAATCTAGAAATAAAATTAAGGGATGAGGAAAAGAGAAGGCAGGGGAGAGGTCGTTACCTCTGCGGCGGCGGCGGCGGTGGTGGATGAGGGTGGCGGCAGAGGAGGACGACATGAGAGAGATGGTAGCGACAGGGGGTGGATGGAGGCGAGAGGGCTGCGACGCTGGTGGAGGCGGAGGGCGCGACAACTGCGGCAGGAGGGAGAGATGGAGGCGGCGACGACATGGAGAGACGAAGGCGGAGGAGGCAGCTAGGGTTCTGGAGAGAGGGAAGAGAGAGGGGAGAGAGGGGAGAGAGACCTGTGTGTGGAGAGTTATTTTGTTATTTAATAAAAATAAATTATATAGAAAGGAGAAAGAATCTTGTGTGGTAATATTTTTTTCATTCCAAAAATACCCTTCTTTTAATTTTAACCTTCAAATTGAAAAAAGAAGAAAAAGACAAGAGAGAGAACGTATCCAATGACTAGGAAGTGGGTGGTCAATCTCACAAACCCCAGAGGGGGTTGTGACCGTATCCTATCTCGATGGGAATTGGTTACGCTAATTTAAAATTTTCAGTGGAGGACATTCACAAGCTATAAAATCTACTTGGTCAACTAAGCTCACCATCCTTACCTACTTCAACGAGCTCTCCTCCACCTGAAACACCAGTAAGGTAATCACAAAAACATGTCCTAATGAACTGAGTGCACAAACATATCTATGCAACTCTTAATGTTGATCTGACTTGAATCGGACTATCAGCCGCTACAATTGGAAGTCAAGGGGGTCTCGTTGCCCGATCAGCGAGTGGGGTCTCGGTTGCCCTCGGCCCACGATGTATGCATAGGCGGAGGGAGGCCAATTGGCCCTTGTCCCGGGACAGGGGTAAATTTTGGAGGAACAAAAATATGTCATATATATATTGGTGATGCAAAACAACACTTATAGGTAGTATTAGAGTACTTTTGTCACTACAGCACAACTCATTACTTATTCATAAATTGACATAAAATTATTTTATTATAGTATAAAGTATAAACAAATTCTAATTGCAATAAAGACCTAATCGGATCTCTTTTCTCCTTATGCCTATTCGCTTTTTTCCCAACAACTCTGAAATTGTCTAGCGACAACGACAATTCCACTAGTTTTGATTCTACGAATTACAACTGCAAATGTAAAAAGAGCATTTTTCAGCTTTGAGTTATATTAAGAACAAGTTTCCAAGTCGATTTAGCGACCAATTTGCTAATGCTAATTTAGTGAGATACATTGAAAAAGACTTATTTAATAGTGTAGACAACGAAAGTTTTTGCGTTTTTTTTTTCGCAATAAAAAAAATCTCTCCGTGGTTGTTAAAAACAATGATTGTATAGTCGGTTATTTTTAATCTATGAATGAATTATGCAGATATAATTAATTTTAATTATTTTTATTAAATTATTTTTAATTAAATATTTATATATTTATATTATGAAAAGAGGACAGGGATGGTTTGAAATGCTAGTTCCGCCACTGGATGTATGAGCTCAAGGTTTTTTGGGTTCGGGTTCTGGGCCTCGTTGTAACTGCTTTTCCTTTACCAAATTGGATTAGGGTTGGACCTAGAAGAAGTAATATAAATACTTCTCAAACTCCTTTGTAATATGTATCTCCTCGAATTATAGTGAAACTAGCTCTATCCTGCCTGTGAACTAGCTAATATACATTGTGTTTGTGAACCACATAAATCTTGTGTTGTGTGTGCGCTTTTTCGTTTGTTTCTTGCATTGTTAGAATACTCATATTTGCCTCGTTATCAAATTTCTTATCAAGCTCTCCCATGAGCGCCCATACGAGAGGCGCTCTACCTAAACCGAAGCGAAAAAACAACCGAAGCAATCCATTAACCTGGGTACATGCATATTTCAATCCTCCAGAGTCCAGACAGTGTACAGCACATTTACACTTCCTGGGGTAACGAGCGCTAAACAGCATAAAGTCATCCAACAAAGGCCCACAGAGAGCCCCAGTATGGTCATTCTTCATGGTATAGTGCGTCACCTCTACCGCAAGGTCGCCTGCGTCTCCGACGGCAAACCTCAGCACATAAAGGCAGAATCTCAAAATCTGATCATAAACAAATTTGTTACTGGAAATTCAAGGTTCATACTTTGGCTACTAGGAAAAAGCACAATATAAAAAAGAATATGGAATATTAGAATTCGACAAAAACTTACTAGCTGTCACGGTTGGCTCCTATAGCTGGCGGGTTTTATCAATTATCATGAATGGTTCAAACATTGAGTCAACTTTTCCTGATGCTACCATTTTCTGGACGAAAATTTGAAACTCTTCTGGCGTAGATCCTTTTGCTACTACTGCTCGCATGATATGCTCAAACTTTGGGTCAAATCCTTTTGATAGCAGGAATTGCATGCATTCTTCAACCACCGGGTCAACAGTTCCTTCTGGTGGCATTCCCTGCTTACGTGCTTCCCTTTCAATGAGTTCCTTCATTTTCTCTAGCAACCGATTATTTTCTTCTACCAGCTTTCGATGTTGCTCCCTAATTCGTGCACAGTCACAAAGAGCGCATGTGTCTTCCGGGCATGGCCTTTCCAGATTAAGCTGCTCAGCGTCAGAATGATCATACAAGTTACTATCACATGTTGTATATGTATAGATAGCATTTAGAATAGAATACGAAACTAACCAGCTGATGGTACAATGAATTGAAGGAGATTGGTTTTTGGCTGTGTACATTCGGCATCTCACTCGAACTTGCCATGTCCTTCTCGCACATTTTCCTATCATATATACAATTATATCAATTTTCTTCTTACCAAACGTCAGTTAATCATACAGAAAATATACCTTCACGTTAGGAGTGCCCCTACAGTCATGTAAGAATTTTCACCCTGCTTTTGGCGAAAGAAAGCAACTAGCAAGCAAATCATACTTGTTAGTTCACATGCATAAATAAGAAATAATCTCTCATATCATTCAAGGGAAAATTTCACTACCCAAATTACCTTGGTTTTTGGGGCTAGAAGAATTAAGTGTTCTACTTCATTGCTAGGTTGAGGGAGAAAGTACAGAAAGTGTTCCACTAGTGCAACTGAAGATGAGATTGGTACATTAGATATAGAGGAACAACTAAGTTACCAACCAAAATAGAAAAATAAAATCACGACTGCCCCTATAAATAAAAAGTACAAACTCTGTCCTTCCGATAAATTGCAAACTTAAATGACGGTGTTGTGTAATACAAACTAGTCTCTCTCTCGAAGAAGGTCAACTCAACTGTAAAGAGAATCTGGAACATGGGAACAGCATATGCAGCTTCAGAAGGAGAAGTAAGTTTGGTTTCAGAAGTCGCTGCACAAGATTCTGCTTGGTTTACTAAGATCAAGACAGGCAGTCTATCATGAAGGAAATAGGGAGCCTTCAAACTCAACAAGGTCCACAACATATCATGAGGTCGAAATGCTATATTTTGCAGGATATGAGCGAGTTTGCTAGTAAGGACGTTGTCAAGTGTGTACTCAGGCAGTTCTTTGTTATGAGATTTCATGTTGAAGACAGATATCAAGTTTATATTCCTAAAATAACAAGAATAGCAAAGAATTGTTGTCAGAATTATCTTTCAACCTAGGAGTAACGGTGATAATTTAATCACATAATCTTTCTATTTTATGGAATGGGATCGGAAGCCACGAGAACATCTATAGTCGATGCTAAACGATCATTATCTTTCTCTGGCTTAAACTCTTAGGTTGGAAAAGAGCTTGAGACTGAAAACACATACCAGAAGTTGAAACCTAGAAGATTTCAAAAGTTAAGCAACAGAGAATCATCCAAGCAGTAGTGGACCTGGAGGGATTGGGATGAAAACGAAAGTGGCGGAGCAAATGCAGATTCAAATGTCAAGCTGCTGAATCTCTGTTGCAGGGTAAATCCTGAAAGCAACAAGAAGATGAATGTCATAAGCAATATGAAGATGACAAGCAAAAGTCCAATTCCTCGTTGGTTTCCCACCATCCATTCGACAGGAATGATTTTACAGCCTCCCCTGGAATAGTAATCTATAATACGGAAAAGTAAGCTCCTACAAAGCAAGTAGCAGTCTACAGAAAACCCAATGCCAAAAGAACAATTGCCCCATATGAGAGAAGGATAATATTAGCATGCAACCTAATTGAGCAACGCAATGACAAACCCATATAGCCGAAACAGGAAAACGAGACAGCAAGAACGAAGAAGAAAAAAAAAAGCTGCAGATTCCTTAAGGTGGGGAAAGTATTACATCATGGGTTCCGACATGGCTTGCCTTCATGAAATCAGAGAACACACAAAAATGGAATCCAGTGTAGCTTTTGAAGCGTAAAAGAGACAGAGAGGGCGGAATGCGATTCCACATTCTACCTTGAGCAATTTCGGGAAGCTGGGAAATCAGGGCCCTGACGGTGAACACGAGCTGCTTAGGGGTTTCTACAATTCCACCGGGAACAGTCTCCTCATTCAGCTACGAAACAATGAAATTCGCAGAATCTGTATTCCTCAGCAATTTCCCCTCTTCGGCCTATGCCAAGATTTCGGTTTTCTTTTTTATCTTTTTAAATTTCAGTAATTGGGTTGAAGGCAACAACGAAGATTGGGCTTCAACGCTCCGATGGCAATTAGGATCCAAATCCATGAATCCAATCCAATCCAATTCATCCACCAAATTATCTACTTAATCCAATCCATTTAAATCTAATCTATTTTATCCAAATCCAATTGGATTGGTGTATTCGTGGATCAATCCATGGATCCAAATGGCAAATTACGATTTTGTACCTATATTTTTATACTTTACATTTTGGTACTTAAAATTTATATTTTTATACGAAAAATAACATTGGAAAATTACATTTTGGTACCTAAAATTTTTAATCGCGACATTTTAGTACCGAAACTTTTCAATTTACATTTTGGTCCAAGCCTTGGATGTCATTTGGATTCATGGATCAATCCACCAATCCATTGGATCCAATCCATTTGATCCATTGATTCACCAATTCAATCCACGAATCCGATCCAATTGCCACCTCTAGCTGCAACCATTACAAGGATGGGCTTGGGTTAAATAATGTCATCGAACACTATTGTAAGACTAACCCAAACAAGAAAAGTCTATCTATTTTCTCTCTTCTCTAAATTCTCTTTTTCCCGATGGCGGCCGCCAGGCGCAGCTCAAGCCGTCGTGCCTATTAGCTGGGCTTCTCTTTTCGTGGTGGATCCGGCAAACAAAATGACGTATCGACCTACTCAGAAAAAGGATGATGGTTTTCAACTTCCTCGCGAAGTCAAGAAGAGGGGTGAGAAGAGGTGGAAAGATTGCCTCATCGCTCAGTTCGTTGGTTTTGTGTCCAAACCGATAGCTCTCCAGCAGTGGGCTACGGGTCTGTGGGTGAGAGATGGGGTTGTTCGTGTCTCTATGTTTGGTCCTCGATTGATGGTGTTTCAATTTCCAAGGTAATCTAGTGTATTTTTAGGAAGTGGTTTCCTGGGATTCAACCTGTTACCCTGATTGTTGAAACTCTACCAATATGGGTGAAGATTTGAGGTATTCCTCTTGAGTACCATTCGTTTGAAGGTCATGAATGGATTGCTAGTACGCTAGGGTCACCGCTCTGGATGGATCAGACTACTAGGGTTGGAGCACAATTGGGTTTTGCCAAAGTTTGTGTTGATCTGGCTGCTGACTGTGGTTTTCCTGACGAAGTTAGGCTCTATCCTGATGATGATCCGTCATTTGAAGTTGAGGTTGAGTACCTCAACAAACCTCAGGTTTGTAGCATATGCGAGATCTTTGTTCATGATTGTGATTGGATTTCTAAGAGTGGGAAGAAATGGGTTCCTAAAAAGAAGGAAGCTACTGAAAATATTGAAGTTGGTCATCTGATTGCTATTGAGCAAGTTCAGGTAGCTAGTGATAAGGGTAAGGAGATTATGCAAAGCCCTGCTGAAGAAAGTACCTTTGAGCAAAATGAAGAGGGGAGTTCTCAATCTGCTCCTCAAGTAATTGGGAATCCAACAGTGAGTTTTGCTGAAGAGGTAAAAGGGTCACCAGTACAATATGGGAGTCCTGTTATCTCTAAGCTTGTGATTGAGCAGTCTAACTCACTAGTTGGGAGGTTAGCTTCTCAGTATCCTCCTGCTGGTAATGAGAAAAACCCTTGGATCACAGTTGGGGGGAATTTAGCAAAGAAGAAACCACCTGTTCCTGCTGCTAAGAAGGGGGGAAAAGGAGGAAAGAAGAGATGAAGATCCTTTCTTCGAATACCAGGGGATTCAAAGACCCTGATAAGAATAAGGCAGTTCAGCTGCTAGTAAATAAATATAATATAGATATTGTTGGTATATTGGAGCCAAGAATCAGAGTTAGTGAGACAGATGCACTCATAAGTAAGAGATTCCTTGGATGGGAGAAGAAAGTGACTAGTAACTCAAATGGTTTGGGGAAGTTGTGGATTCTATGGAAGCAAGATGTCCACATGCGTATTCTGGATAGCACATATCAGTTTGTTCATGCTTTGGTGAGTTCAGGTTCTCCCTTCTTTTTTACCTTCGTTTATGTATCGAATGAGGAGGCTGATAGGAAGAAATTATATAGTGGGGTTGGGAACTTTCCTTGGACAATTCTGGGGGACTTTAATGCCATTAATGGTCCCGAGGAGGCCTCAAACAATCCCGCTCCTAATAGTAGTATTGAAGATTTTAGAAATTGGCAGAATCTTGTTGAAATAGTAGAGCATAAATCTTCAGGCCCTTGGTTCACCTGGATCAATAAGCAGAAGAGTAATCATATTGCAAGGCGACTAGATATAGTATTCATTAATTTGAAATGGTTAGAGGTAATGAAGAATAGTGTTGTGGATCTCTTAGATCCTTCTGTCTCTGATCACTGTCCCATTCTTCTCAATACTGATAGTAAGATCAAATCTCTGCCAAAACCACTTAAATTTTTCAAGTTTTGGACTTCACATCCGAATTTTATGGACCTTGTTAAATAGGCTTGGAGTGCTGAGGTCGAGGGTTCTCTCCTCTCTAGAGTTTGTAAGAAGCTAAGAGTTCTAAAGAAGCTCCTCAAGGAGCTGAATAAAGAGGAATTTTCTTATCCGAGGGAGTGTGTGAAGTTAAAAGAACTGGCATTGCAAAGTGCCCATGCTGATACATTAGTTAATCCTTCTTCTAATTCTTTTTCTCGTGTTAAAAACTGTGAAGTGGAGCTGAAAGTTATAAGACAAGCAGAAGAATCATTCCTTAGACAGAAGTCTAGGAAGATTTGGCTAAAAGAAGGGGATTCAAACTCCTCTTATTTCCATCGCTCTGTCAAGATTCGAAACCAGAGGAATACCATTCGATCTCTCATCACTGAATATGGGGAGAGAGTAGTTGATACTAAGACTATGAGTAAAGTAGTTGTGCGATTCTACCAGAACTTACTTGGCAAAGTTGACCCTAATGTGAAGGCTGAGTCAGTGGAATTTTATAAGGGGTTGTTGCAGAAGACTCTTCCTAGTAGCCTTGCCACTGATTTGTGCAGACATGTTACTTCAAAAGAGATAAAGAAGGTTATGTTTGGGTTTAAGGGACAAAAAAGGCCTGGTCCATATGGCTATTCAGCATGCTTCTTCCATGCTGCCTGGAGTATAGTGGGGGGAGAGATCACTACAGCTATACAACATTGTTTCAATTTCTCTAAGTTCCCTTTTGAGGTAAATTCCACTCTCCTTGCCCTGCTCCTGAAACTAAGAACCCTGAGGAAATGAAAAAATTTAGACCAATATCTTGCTGTAACATTCTTTATAAATGTATAGCTAAGATCATTTCCTCTAGGCTTAGTGAATGTTTGCCTCATTTAATCAGTGAGAATCAAACAACATTTGTTAAAGGTAGAATCATTGGGGAGAACATATTGCTAGCTCATGAAATGGTCCAAAATATGGAAGGAAAATATGTCCTCTAGGTGTATGATTAAGGTGGACCTAATGAAAGCTTTTGACTCTGTTGATTGGAATTTTCTCATCACTGTGCTTGAAGCTATGGATATACCCTTGGGTTTCATTAAATGGATTTCAATGTGTGTAACTACTCCAAAGATCAGTGTTGGATTTAATGGAGGGGTTGTTGGGTATTTCTCAGCTAAGAAATGTTTAAGACAGGGAGATCCTCTCTCCCCTTATCTGTTTGCTATTGCAATGGAGGTTTTCAGTTGTCTTATGAAAAAGGCAGTGAATGAAGACAGAATGCCTTTTCACCCTATGTGCAAACGTGTTGGTCTAACACACCTAATGTTTGCTGATGACTTGTTGCTATTTTCTTATGGGTCGAATTATGGGATTCAATGCATTCAGGATGTCCTAGAACAGTTTAGGCATTTATCAGGTCTTGTTTCAAACCAAGCAAAGTGTGAACTTTACTGTTGTGGTTTACCTAAGGAATGGCAGGAAAGTATGGCAGCTAGAGCTGGTTATCAGCTTGGTTCTCTCCCTGTTAGGTATAGATTCCAAGCAAGCTGAAAACTAAAGCATGTCGTCCTCTAATTGATAAAATTGCCAAATGGATCCAGAATTGGGGGTGAAAACTCTGAGTTTTGTAGGAAGGCTTCAACTGGTTCTTTCTGTGTTATACAGTATGGTTCAGTTTTGGATGACAGTGTTCATATTGCCAAAAAAAAGTGTTAGTTGACATTGAGAAGCTGTGTAATGATTTTCTTTGGGGAGTGGGCCAGGAGGGTAGGAAAAAGCAGTGGCTGCTTGGGGAAAGTTAACTTTTCCTAAAAGAGAAGGTGGTTTGGGGTTAAGGGACTTGAGGAGCTGGAACCTTGCTTGTATTTTGAGGCACATATGAGATCTTCTTACTAAACAAGGGTCCCTATGGGTGGCCTGGATTTGGAAATATAGACTTTATGGGGTGGATTTTTGGGCTTCGACTTGTAAAACTAGTTCATGGATTTTTGTAGAAAGTGCTTAAAACAAGAAGTTTGGTTCAACACAAGATGTCTGTGCAAGATGGTGAGGGGTCCTGGAATGGGAAGATACCAAAAAATTTCTCTACTAAATAGGTCTGGGAAGAATTAAGGCCTCAAGGCACTGCTATTCCTTGGTTCAAACTGATATGGAAAGCTCCTGTCATCCCTAGGAATCAGTTCTTAAGCGGGCTAATCATCAGGGAATTCATTTCCACTTGTGACAAAATGGTTAATTGGGGTTTCCAAGGGCTCATAGCCTGTGTCTACTGCCACTGCAGAATCGAGACTCGCAATCACTTGTTTACAGAATGTGTCAGGTATAATTCTCTTTTCAAGGCACTTTTCTCCAAATTTTGCAGAAGAGATCCCTCAAATTCATGGTCTGTTGAACTCCAATGGGCTATGGATTCTTTTTCAAAAACTGCCTCTCATTCAAGAGCAGGAAGAGTCATTTGGCAATCCTTGGTAAGTAACATTTGGCGAGTAAGGTGTGCGGCGAGGTTTAGTGGTTCAGTCATGAGCTTGAATGAAGCTTGCAAGCTGATAAAGGATGAAGTGAAACTTGTTTG